AACAGAAAAAAACAAAGCTTTAAAAACAAAAAAAAAAAAAAAAAAAAAAAAAAAAAAAAAGCCCCAAAGAAGAAGAGTGCTGTGTGTTGCCAGGGTGTCCTGCTGTAAAGAGGCTACTTAGGAAAGGCAGGGGTTCTGAGGCTTCATACTGTTTTCTTATGAATATGAGTGTTTTGCTTGCATGTATGAATCCTACAAAGGATAAAAGAGGGTGTCAGGTCCCTAGAGCTACAGACATTTGCAAGCCATTATATGGGTCCTGGGAACTGAGCCCAGATCCTCTTACAAGAGCTGTGCATACCCTTAAGCACTGAGCCATCTTTCCAGCCCTGTTTGCTTTTTGACTAAAGCCTTTGAGATCTGCTACAGCCAAGGTCCAAGGGGATCTGGTGGCTATGTTTCTCAAGCTAGTAGCAGAACTTGTTATTGTCACATGGTGATGGTTTTGCAGGCTTACAGGATGCAAGAATTTCAGGGACATGGAGGCCTGCTCCTAGACCAAAAGTTCTCAAACTTCTTAATGCTCTGTCCCTTTAACACAATTCCTTATGTTGTGGTGACCCCAACCATAAAATTATTTTTGTTGCTACTTCGTAACTGTAACGTTGCTGCTGTTATGAATCATAATGTAAATATCTGATATGCAGAGCATCTGATATGCAACCCCAAGGAGTTCACAACCTTTTTTTTTTTTTTCTAGGAAAGTCTTAGGCCAGGCAGCGTGCAGCAGGGCTAGATTTCCTGAGTACATGACGTTTAAAACTATAAGGATGAAGCATAGGCTGTGATAGAAACCCTTGAATGTTGGGGGTGCCAGGAATGTGAAATGTCACTGAGGGCAGAGCCTGGAGGCAATGAGTGGAGCTGGCTCATCTGTGCTCCAGGCAAAAGGACTGTGGGTTGGGGCTGGCCAAGCCCTGTGGAGCCTACATCTCACTGCGTGCCATAGACATCAGACTTGGAGCAACAGAATTTAATGTTTTCCCTAGTGGGTTTCTGTCATGTTTGATCTAATCTTTCCTTACTATGTAGTGTGGCTGTGTTTAGTCTGGGTTTGACCAGTTACACAGCTTATGATCAGACACAGGCTCCAACAACAGTTCTCTGGCCCTATGAGAACTTACTGGGGCAAAGAGGCAGGTACAACTGGGCTCAGTGGACTGGGCTGTGGAAGTGGCCTGCATGGAGTGGAGCCTGTAGGGTCCAGCCTTTCATGAGGAGTGTAGTGAATCTAGCAGCTCTTGGATGGGGAAGGGAATGAGAGGGTTAGTGTTTCATCAGGAAGCAGAGGCCACTGCATGGCCTTAAGCCAGGGTACTCTCCTCTCTGAGCCACTGTATGGTGATTTCTTGCAGGGCTGAAGTTTAGATGTTGATAAAGAAACCCCAAGACCACCTTTACTCAAGGTAGTTTGATAGGAGGATGCAGAGTTCAAAAAGGCTGTTGTATTCATGTTCATAGTTTATTTCAAGGGATGGATGGATGGGCACAGATTAAGAGACACAATAGAAAAGGGACAGTGTACAGAATCCAGGTGATGCCAGCAGAGGCTCCTATTCGCCAGTTCTCATTGGAGCTGCATGCCCTGCTCAGTTCTCTAAGCAGTAATGTGTGAAACAACACACATGAGATTTGCCAGCGACCTGCTAACCTGGGTACCTAGAGTTTTACTGGGACTTCATTTGTGGATTTGACACATTTTTAGTCTATGGGGCTGACTTACTGTGTATGCAGCTGATAGCTACATGGCCCAAGGCCATCATCACAAGTCATAGTGACATAGCCACCTGTTTGACATTGCCCAAGGCTTGATGTCAGTTAGGACTTGTCCCAAAAGACATTCCAAAGAGACTAGTTGGAATGTACAGAGTGTGGATAATCCAGGCCTGATCACTGCACACACCTTGACTGCCAGGGAGAGCCCCAAGCAGAGCTGTATACTTGAATTGATGGAAATCACCCCAGGAAGTGAAGTGCTAAATGTTGCGTGGCAGGCCGAGAACACAGTGTGAGCCCCTGTCCAGGGACAGGTGGTGTGAGATCTGGGTGCTCTGGACTCTCTCTGCACTTGTAACCTCAAGAACCTTTGGCACAGATCCGAGTCCCTGGACTAGCACTTGTTAGTGTGGTTTGTCTCAGGCTTGTTAGTGCTCCCAGAGATCAGCACTTGGCACTGCAGCCTCCTGTGCTCAGCAGGCTCCATACCCTCCTCGCCCATGTCCACAAGTGTCCAGACAGGGGTTTTGGTTTTTTTTCATTTTATTGTATGTGTGTGGGTGTTTTTCTTACATGTATGTCTGTGTGCCACCTATGTGCAGTGGCCATGGAGCCCAGAAAAGGCATTGGATTCCCTGACACGGAGTTACAGATGGTTGTGAGCCACCATGTGCATTCTGGAAATGAATGAACCCAGGTCCCCAGAAGAGCAGCCAGTGGTCTTAACTGCTAAGCTATTTCTCCAGCTCCTCCAGCGAGTTTTGTTTTCTTTTCTCCTCTCTCTTCATGGTGACTGACTAATCGGGTCTTAGGCAATTGCAGAATCCTATTCCATCTTTAAGGACCCTTGTGGTGGACGCCACCAGGCCCTGACAGAGCTTCAGAACTCCATGGGTGCTGAGTTGGAGACACCTGGCACTCACAGGGGCTTGCCAGCAGCTTCTTGGGGAAAATATCTGGGCTCAGGGGAAGGAAGGATCTGCTATGGGACAGGTACAGTAAGGAAGATATGTGGGGTTTGCTGACCAGAGAGGGCAGAGGGCTGTTGGGCAGCGGGCCTGGCTTGAGTGGGGGGTGAGGGATTGGAGAGAAAGGCAGTTCCTGATGGTCCCCTCCCAGGGGCTGGCTTTCCTCTGGTCCTTCTCTCCCAATGACTGCGTCTTCATCGAGGCCGCAGCCCTGGGCTCTGCCAGCACCTCCAACTCCAGGCTGCCTGGAGACACATCGATGGCCTTCCTGTGGACCATGGAGCCCTCTCACGACTCCAACTAGAGGGCTGGTCTACTGCCCGCTTGGGCCAGCCAGGATGGCAGATCCTACAGCTGAACTGGAGAAACACCCTTGTTCTGGCTATATCTGGTGTCCAGTGGCCAGAACCACCTCTGCTAGTGGCTCTGCCCAGTAGCTGGGTACACAGCCTAGGGAGGACCAAAGGCCTCTTGTCTGCCACTGGGAGCTGCTTTTGTGTGTATTGTTAGTGCAGGAGCCCCCATCCACAGCAACAGGCAGGAGGGCCATGGCCCTCCTGAGGTCCCGCATGATGTCAGTTCCTTGCACTGCCTCTGGATAACTGCTGGGCTGTCTCATTAAGCTGTGTTTAGAATGCTCGTGGATTTCCCACTTCTCAATGCCTCACCCTTCCACACACACACAGATCTACTGGGCTTTGCAATTCCTATAGCCCTCATTTCTCAAAGAACTTTTAAAAGTTCCTTTTTGTACTTTGTGAACCTTGTTTTTTTCCTCTGTTACCTTCTCTATCCTGCTTCTGTTTTCCTAGAATCAAACCATGGCTGGTTTGTAATATGCATGTCAATCTTTCTTGATAGCCAAGGTCACTGAATTTCAGGGTTCCTGGCCCCACAGTATGAACCTGTCTCTGTTTCATAGAATACTAGGTAGGCACAATTTCTCAGAGACCACCCCCTTTTAATTAAAAAAAAAATTTGTGTATGAATGTTTTGCTTGCATGTATGAGTGTGCACTGTGTGTGTGTACCTGGTACCCACAGAGGCCAGAATAGATGCTATGAGACTGGAGTTACGGATGGTTGTAAGCCACCAATGGGTGCTGGGAATTGAACCCAGGGCCTATGGAAGAGCAGTGAGTGCTCTTAACCACTAAGACAACATTCTAGCCCCACATCCAGATTTCTTACTTGCTAAGCCATCACCCCAGTTTGCCAGATAGTCTGGGGGCACACACATTGTAGCATTTTCCATTGAAAGCTTTCCTGAGCCTGTCTGCTTCCCCAGGACTCTGAGGCCTGGGGTCCATGTGACAAGGGATCACACACTTAGTCCATGCTCACTCAGCACACAAATGTGTGTGCATATGCCCAGCACAGGTTTCTGCCTACCATTAAGTCCCTTGGGATGGTAGGTGTGTGTGCTGAACAAAGGCCTGTGGGGACATGTGTCACAGATCATACCAGGTGAGTGAGCCCTGATGCCTGGCCTTGGGGTGTCGTGGGCTGAAATGAAAGTACCTCCCTCAATGGCTCATGGGGAGTACTCGGTGCCATTTTGGGGGAGAGGATTCACATGTGGTTCCTATTGCTGCTGCTGCCCCTTCCAGTACCCACTCACCACCCCCATGTGGTGTGTCCAGGGTCAGAGGGTGTCATGTGGTGGAGTTACAAGGTGATGCTGATGAGCCCAGGTAAAGGACAATGTCTGATGTTACCAAGCACCTCGTCTCGCTTGTCCAGCCCCACTCACTGGTGGTGTGTTCTGGACCATGCAGGTATCCAAAAGGCCCTCTGACACTGCTGTTCACAACTCACCGTTCTCCTTTTCCCACAGACCTTGTGACCGTGTGAGCAAAGCCACCCTTGCAACCCATGTGCATCATCTTCTTTAAGTTTGATCCTCGTCCTGTTTCCAAAAATGCATACAGGTAATGAATGCTGTCTGCCATGCTGCACTGGGCCTGGGGTACATGGCTGCTCCTCACCACTGGGGTGCCATGTATGCAGGAGACAAACGCAGACCGCTGGGTGGGTGGGCCAGGCTCTGAATGGCTAAATTCTGGTCTCTGGAGGCAACCCACACAGGCTTGGCCCTGCTATCCTGGACAGTGGCTGCTTAGCCTGGGGCACTGGGAGGAGTACCACCCTAGAGCATGGACTCAGAGCTCATGTGCAAGTGTGGCAAGACAGAGGGGCGGTGTGAAGTTCTGTGGGTTGTGATTAGGGCACAGCTGCAGAATTGGGGTGGCTATGACAGTGAGCAAGCTCTTTTGAGGTAGTCTGGGTGGTGGCAGATTGAGGAAAGCATCCATAGGGTTTTTGACTCTTGATCTGAAGCGTGAGGAAACTGGAGTACTAGCCAAGGATGTGGGAAACGGTGGGCAGAGAAAGGTGAACTGGGGGCTAGCCTGTCCTATGCTTCCCAACGTGTGAACTCAGACAGTAGCCGCTTCATTCCCCAGGACATGTCAGTGTTTGTTCACATAAAGAATAAGGCAGAGATTTAGCCCACAACTAGAAGTGGAATTTGAAACTACTCTCTAATGCATTTGCCTAGAGTGTTTTCTTTCTTTCTCTCTTTCTTGCCTTTTTTGTTTGTTTGTTTGTTTTTTGAAACAGGGTTTCTCTGTGTAACAGTCCTGGCTGTCCCAGAACTTGCTTTGTAGATAAGGCTGGCCTGAAACTCACTGAGATCCACCTGCCTCTGCCTCCCAAGTGCTGGGATTAAAGGCGTGGGCCACCACCGCCCAGTGCTTGGAATGTTTTCAAACATTTAAGACACGTTCTAGAAATGATCTGAGTTGTTTCAGTGAGGTTCTCATGCTGAGTCACTATGCAGAACAGCAATCCTGGCCTCTATGGCAATCTCTGGGACTCACCAGTCACCACCTGAACCTCACTGCAAATCACCCTCACATCCAGTTAGTCTGAGACCCTGGGGACCAACCTTGATTCAGTCAACAATAGGATAATTAGAAAACAGGCTTAAGTCACCTGAGCCTTAAATATCAATTGGAAACCAGATGTAGCTCATACCTTGTAATCATAGCACTTGGGGAGGCAAACAGGAGGTTCAAGGCCAACCTGGGCAACATGAAATTCTGTAAGAGAGAAAAGATTGATCACAAAGTCAAGCTTGGTCTCCAGGGCTTACTATGGCTTCACAGATGGCTTTTGAAGTAGGAACGTAGAAGTCTCCGTAGGTTTGATTGAGAATGACCCCCCCCCATAGGCTAATGTGTTTGAATACTTGGTGTCCTGTTGGTGGAACTGTTGGGAAGGATGTCCCGCGCGCTATATGTTCTCGCCGGCAAGAAATACACGCACAGGACACTCGGATCCTTCTGCAGAAAAGCTTTAATGCGTCTTGAGAGAGGAGAGCATAAGCTTACCAGAGCGGAGACCCTGAGCCAAGAATCCCTTCCCTTAATAAAGGCTGGCAAGCAGCCGCCTGGGACGTGTTACCCTATGAATGGCTTCAGCTCCTCAGGCCAAATGAGCCACGGGATAGGCAGAGATCAAAGGAATGGAAATTACCCAGCGCCTGTGAAATAATTTACATTTGGTGTCCGCAGGCACCATCATTGTAATGGAGAATGCAGGAACGGCTCCCTACATATCCCCCTTTTTTTATTAATTAATGATAAGGCTTTATATTTTTACAAGCAAATAGGTCACCCATATGTTGAGGGATAGAGGCAGAGGTTGTACCTTCCCAAATCAAACATTAAGACTGTGTACAAGAGTCACCATCAGGCT